TTGCTAAAAACATCAAGGACGCCATTTCCTTGTCTCCATCCAACTCTATGTTTTTCACTATGCATCTTCCGTTTGTAGTAAACGTGGCTGACTACATGCCTCCATTTTAGAAGTTTTCCGATCTCATCAAGATCTCCCTCTTGCTCTTCTCCCTTGTACTATTCGTTCAAATTATCTGCTTGTTCAACGAAATGTATTTCAAAGCCCACGTCCGTGTAAATCCTTATCCAGAATGTCCCTACTTAGTGCTTGCGGATGAGGGCCCCAACCTCATGCACTTACCAGGACTTACTTCTATTTCATGGCCTCAACACAATCGTTCAAACCTCACTCGGAGGGCGGTGAGAACTGGATTTGACCTAGCACTGAGCGAAGGCCAATACAACAGCTTGGAAACGCTTCTCCGAGTGTTCGAGGACGTAATGATCTCCTTGAAGCTGCAGAATCAGTGGTTTCTAGATAGTGGCAGTCTGATAGGTTCCCTTCGTCATCACGAGATCATTCCGTGGGACGATGACATTGATGTTCGTGTCGACATACACCACCGTGAAAGGATTCTATCCGCTCTGCGAAAACACCCATCTGAGTTGAGAACGTACAAGATGTCCAACCATGACAAACTCTACTTCAGACCAATGAAGGAAAATAAGAGTGTGGACTCGAGAACGATTGGCAGTTTTAATTTCTCGCATGTGCCATGGGCGTGGCCATTCATTGACATTTTCTACTACAGACGGAGATTTAGTGGCATGACATTAGAGTTTGTGCGAGAATCGAAGCACTATGACGTTCATCAAATATTTCCAGTCACATACCGACCCTTTGGACAGCATTGGTATCCGGCACCTCGCAATCCCGTGCATGTGCTTTCCTCATACTACTCCTCCAATAACCACCTTTGCTTGTCTCACCACTGGTCACACGCTACAGAAAAAGGCGTTTCACCAAGTTCTGTACCATGCAGTTCGTTGTCCCACTTGCATGCATTTGTCCAACGCTGTCCCATTGCAAAGAGTGGCAGTAGGTGGAAAGACCTGCGACTCTGTGACGAGCATTTGGTTGATGGCAGCGGTCGCAGCATACACACGATACGGACTTTACTGCGTCGTGACGAGATTGAGTCGCCATTCTTTGCTGTGAAGCACGCCTCTTTCTCTTGCCCCTAGTTGCGCTTTTTTTGGCTTCTTGTGTGGCTCCCCTCCTGCACACACCTACACTCACTGCAAATAAATGCTCTTCCCTCTTTCCTCCAATGCAGCTGGAATCGTGCCCTCACTACACACGGCATCCGCCTTTATAATATCGCCATTTACAATAACGCCTCGCCTTTTCACGTTTATTTCATAACTCCATCCACGTAAGTGGTGCTGTTGTTGTTGGCGAGGATGTTTGTTTTGCCACTGAGCGCAGCATTCTGCTCTACTAGGGCCATTGCAACGGTATGTATTGCCTGATTTGACTGTGTCAAGTAAGGGAATAGTGATGAGTATGCAGTATATCAGAATAGTCGGGAGGTGAGGACACTCAGGAGAACGGACAGTTTTACGCCATTAGCCATCGCCACACCAGATGGGAGTAAGGAAGACAATTGAGGCCTCCTTGACGCTTTGCCACAGGGTAAACATCAATGCTGTGCTTCGGGTCTGATGGCGTAGTGTGTCGGCTGTTGCGGTGAAAGGTACCAGTCGCCATGCATCACATTCCGCATAAAAACGGGGATGTGATCCACCCTCCTTGCCGAAGCACTCCTCCTCACAAAACTAACCAGTG